ACTTGAGACGGTGGTGCTGACAAACTATGAATGGTAGCGCTGAAACAAAGTAGTGCCTCAGCAACTTGACCTCTGCAAGTGCTGCCTCTGCAACTTGACTTAGACATTTTCCATCATGGAGTTTGTTTGGACCTTTGGCGGGTCGGACGTAATCCAACCTACTGTTCACCCACTTTTCTTGGGCTTTGGCCTATACTCCTTGAATCATTCTTGGTCGCCTAACAGAGGTGACCTCCGCACTTAGGTCCATACTTAATTTCGATCTTAATTTCTAACCCTCTACATAAAGAAATCCACATCAACATGCATTTTTCATTTACATATAAAGTTCTACACAAACTCAATTTCAATTATACTAATCAATTTTATATGGATTCTATTTGAGAAATACTTATTTTTCATGTATATAATTATAATTTAATTATTATGATATTTGAAAAAAATTATCTTGATATACAAATAAATAAATAAGACAGAATGTGTTTAATTATATGTATCGCACAGATTAAATTAATTTTCTTTTATATGTTTTGTCTATCTTATTAATGTCTTAATATTAATTTATATTTAATTATATATATATATAAGTAATGTTTACCCTCAAAATTTCTCTCTTTCCTACGTGGCATATCTCTCTTTTGTTTTGTTTTGTTTTGTTTTGTTTTTTTTTTTTATTTGTTTTATTTTTAAGTGTCATGTAACATACCCTTATACTTAATTATTTCTAAAATCTAATATTTAAAAGACTTCTACTTAATCTAAACTACTCATAAATAAAAATTAAAATAATTATACGTACTAAAAAATATTTTACGAATTAATTTTCTTCTACTTTTTTCACTTTTATTCAAGTATTCAATTTTTATATTAAAATTAGATACATTTCTTCTTCTTCTTCTTCTTCTTCTTCTTCTTCTTCTTCTTCTTCTTTTTTTTCTTATTTATATTTTATTATTAATTTATATTGAGTTTCCTATTTAACATGAAATTGTTTACTAAGAAAAATTTATATTTAATTTAAACTTTATATACATATATGTAATTATATATAATATGTATAAACAGTTTTATTCACCCAAAAAGTATAATCAGTTTTAAAATAAATATTAAAGAAAAATCAGTACTCAACAAAATTAATTTATCTATGTTTTTTAATCTAACCGCAAATACTTATATTTAATTTTTAAAATAAATGCTTTTATAACGTCCATTGCTACTTCTTTTTTTTTTAATGTTTATATTTCCAACTGAATAAAAAAAAGTAAATAATTAAAATCACTTTTAATTGTATGTTACTATTTTCCTTTCCAATTTAACTATTATTATAAATCTCAAATTGAGTGTTTATTTTACTATGTTATAATTCAATATTATATAAAATCATTACATATTTATTTCAGTTTCACTTTTATAGTATGATAGGGCTAAGATTATTAAAATATACATAAATAATTGAAATAAAATTATTATATATATTTGTTTAAATAACATTTTTATAGAATGATAAGGTTAAAATTATCAAAATAAATAATTAGAATCATTTTTTAATTTTAAGTAACTTTTTTTTGTCCAATTTAATCATTATTTTTAAAATTAAAATAATTGAATGAAAAAATAAATAATTAGAATCACTTTTAATGTATGTTACTACTTTTTTTTTTCCAATTTAACTATTATTATTAACGTCAAATTAAGTGTTTATTTTACTATTTTATAATTTAATATCATATAATATCATTATATATTTATTTCAGTTACAACTTTATAGCCTGGTAGGGCTAAGATTATTAAAATATACATAAATAATTGAAATAAAATTATTATATATACTTGTTTAAATAACAATTTTATAGAACAATAAGGTTAAGATTATCAAAATAAATAATTAGAATCATTCTTTAATTTTAAATGATTTTTTTCTCCAATTTAATCACTATTTTTAATATTAAAATGAATATTTATTTTATTATATTGAAATTAAGTACAAAAGTATCATATATATACATATGTATATATTTAAACTACACTTTCATAATTTAACAGAATGAAAATTGCAATGTATATTTTGAAATATATTTTTTAAATAGTTCTATATATAATCCATAGATATATACATAAATAATTCAATTTAAATTATTATTTATTTATTTATTATGAAAAAATTAATATTATCATTTTGCATACATTGCAACATATTTTTAAAAATAATTTATATATAGGTATATATAAACAATTTAATTCAATTTTATAAAATATTATTTAAAAAGAAAAAAAAAATTAACTCGTACATCGCACGAGTCAACTACTAATTTATTTTAATAAAAGTAATCTCTAATCAAAGGATAATTGTCTACCTAAAAAAAAAAAAGAAAAAATGTTATGGATTCTAAATAATTTATTAAATTTCTCACATAGACGTGAAATCCACACAAATCCACTTGTGTTTGGATCCCATATCTATGTAAGAGATTTGGTAAAAAATTTAATAAATTATTTGAAGTCCTAACATAGTTCTAAAAAAAAATAGGGAAATTTAGCTAAAATGCTTCCATTGGAACCTTGTTAGGTAAAAAGGGCAATCCAATCTATTTTACTTCATAAACCTTCCGAGGAAGAGGTGCATAATTGAGTAAGGCTAGAGTAAAAAAAAAATTTCTTTTTTCTTGAACAATATTACCCATGTATATATATATATATATATATATCTTACAGAACTCTTTTGACAAGAAACATTTTTATTTTATTTTATACAATTTTAAAAATGTTGTGTATTTGTATTTTTAATTGGTTCATCTAGTATTTACTCTATTTTTTGTAACAATAAAATATTATTGTGAACTAAAATAATATGTTATTGTGAGACATAATAACATGTTACTGTTTACATCAATTTTGACGGTATTTTTTAAAATATTTTTTAAGAATTTCATATTTATATAAATCTTATTTGATAGATTTTGATGAGACGATTTTTAAAATATTAATTTTATTAAAAATTAACATTTAAATTAAAAGATATATTATTTTAAAATTTAAAATATTAAATTACTCACTAAATACATTTTGATTATATTAATATATACTTAATTTTTTATGAATTTTTTTTTATACATCTTCTTAATACATTAAGAAAATTGTTTGAGACCACTAAAACAATGAGCTCTAATAGCTCTAAAAACATTGTGCCCCTAATTGATTTGATGTTTTGCTCTTTATTTTTTTTAATTTTTTTTTTTTGACTGTCAACTTATTAGAACTGATTTAGTAGTCTATTTTTAGTGGGATCTATCACCACGGATACATTAGAGTTGTTTTATGAAAAAAACTTTGACCAAATTTCAAAAAAATAAAAGAAAAAGCGAGCAACCAACTACCACCAGAATTTTTTTTATACATCTTCTTAATACATTAAGAAAATTGTTTGAGACCACTAAAACAATGAGCTCTAATAGCTCTAAAAACATTGTGCCCTTAATTGATTTGATGTTTTGCTCTTTGTTTTTGTTTTGTTTTTTTTTTTTTTTTTATAAACAGACTGCCAACTCATTAGAACTGTCTTAATGATCTATTTTTAGTGGAATTTATCACGACGGATACATTAAAGTTGTTTTATGAAAAAAACTTTGACCAAATTTAAAAAAAAAAAGAAGAGAAAAAGCGAACAACCAACTACCACCACGTGGTCCAACCAAGGACGGTTGCGGATGTTGACCGTCTTCACTCCACCTCGACGCAACGTGGATTTCGATTAGACCTTTGCTGGTGTTTGGGAAGTTTATGTGTTGAGTTTATTTATTTATTTATTTATTAAAAGACAAATTTTTTGTAAAATTCAAAAATAAATTCAAACAAAATATCACATCCAATCTCATAATTATTTCATTTTTTCTCTCACAAACATTATATACAATCAAAAAAAACCTAACTATCTTCCCAAATACTAAAAAAATTTTATCCAATAATATTCTACAACTAAAAAAATCTACATAAAAACCTACTTTCTAAACACTCACAAAATATGCTTAATAGATATGTTAATAATTAAAAGTGGTACTACATGTATCAATTAATATATTAATATTAGTTATGATGTTATTATTGATTTTACTCATTATTTAAATTACAAATACTAAAAATATCTTAAATTATAACATATCATCAATTAAGACATTAATTAATATATCAATTGGTGCATATAGAATTATTCTAATTAAATACATATTAACATTTTTTTTTTATAAAACATTACTTTGACCCTTGGGATCTCTCTCCATGATCTTTCTTTCCAATAATAAGACTAATAAGAATACCAAAATTTTTATCAAACATTTTATATGAAGTAGATTCCACATAAGTATGGAGTTTACATTAATGTGTGATATTTAGTAAAAATTTTAGAGTCTCTAACATTTTTTTTCTTATAATTGCTTGGGTTCTACTTAAAAATTATTTTATTTACACATTATTTTGAATATATATAAATAATATAGAAAATATAATTAATCCAAATATATGAATTATATAATAAAAAGGTATAATGACGCATCCAAAATAATGAATTTCACTATTCTATCCGTCAAGAGGATATGAAGAGATTGAGACATGCCAATTATTTTTTATTTTTTTTATTATTATTTTTTCTTTACAGAAAAATCCCCTCACAATCCCGCAGGTTCAAGGCAGCGTCTCTTGAGGAGATCACAGGGTGTCCTATTGTCTGTTCCAAGTAAGAGACTATAACCTGAAAGTTTGTTCTGACCTCTCAAAGTAAGCTTGAGACATGCTAATTAGTATTAACTGATTAAGCAACCTAAAAAAATATGACAAATTATAATTGGTAAGAGATATGACATTGCCAATAATTTTTCTGATCTTTGGGTTCTCCTCCTACGCGTTTGTCGCCGCCCTCGTTTGCTTCGCCGCCAATCAAAACAGTCAACAGCTCCACCATTAGTCTGTCTGTTTCTCACCTAATCCTTATTATTAATATTGTAGCATTGTTATTGTTTTATTTTATATATAAAACCCAATCGTGATCTTATATATATCTGCTCCATCCCTTTATCCCTCATAGTATTGTATTGTGGTAAGATAGAATAGACAGATAGATAGATAGATAGATCTGTTTTCAACATGAATCACTACAATCAAAACCAGCCTCAAGGTATGTTTTTTGCACCCTTTTTTTTTAATTTCCGTGGGAGATCGTTTTCTCATAGTTTGTCTTTCAAATTCGGTCCTTTTAGTTTTTCCGTTTATTTATTGAGACATTGGTTTTTTTTTTTTTTTTTGAAATTAAATTAACAGTTGCATATCCTCCACCTGGCACTGCATACCCTGCAGCAGTAGCACCACCACCACCACCAGCAGGTTATCCCATGAGAGATGATCAAGTTCAACACCATAACCCACAACCTCTACCCCAAACCCAATCCAGGGGTGATGGCTTCTGGAAGGGATGGTTAAAATTTATAATTATTTTCTTATATAATAATAAAATTATTTAAATTATTAATTAAAATATATTTCTAACATCATTAAAAATCGTTAATTGATTTCATAATTTATTAAAAAATGAGCGATTTATTATGAAATTAAAAACTTTAAGAGTGAAATTTAATTTTTAGAACCACATGATGGATGATTCCTATTTTAATCAAAATTCATGTGTATTTGTGATTTACCCTATAATATATTAGAAGAGAATGATGAGTAGATGTACAACTTAAAAAAGGGATAATTATTGTTCTGTGTTTCTTTAAAAAATAATTACAGATTTATTGAAAATTTTATATCTTAAATTTATTAAAATAGATAATTTTTATTATTAATTTATAATTATTTTTTTAGAATTACAGTTATCCGTAATTTCTTTTAAAAAATAATGGGTGTTTTATGAGGTAGTTGTGAATCTCTTTGTATGTCAATCTTTGTGAGGGGGGAGTTTGGATATTGAATCACAAAGACTGAAAGGTTGAGTAGCTTTACATCTTGAAAATCTCTTCTTAAATAGTGTTTTCTAGCTGATTCATGAATTTTAGACTTAGGTATAACTCATCTTAGATTAGAACAAAACATTCTCTAGACATGAGTTGTCTTGTCTCAATCCTTAACTAAATACACAAAAAGATTACTATTGCATAAACTATTATATCTAAAATCACATAAATCAAACGCAATACGAGATTGAACATTAAAACCGATTATATAAATAGAAAAATGCTAACAAGTGCTCGTGAGAATTGTTTAATGTTGAGAAGTGTATAAAAAAATTCTTAAAAATATGTAAAAATATTTAAAAGTGTATTGATTTCAATAAAAGTGTATTGAAATTTATGAAAAATGTAGTTTATCTTTTACTTGTGTCTTATTACTTGTGTCTTAAGCAGTGATAGAACTAAAAATTCAAAATAGAAGGGGCACCTATTACTCACATCATTGAAAGGAGAAAAAAAATCCACCATAAACAACAAGAAGATAAATGTATACATTTTTTTTTGTTTTTGGTCCATTATTGAGATTTAATATTACAATTATCATGAGAATTACATCAATATAGCTTAGAAATCCACAATCAATAACTCAGTTGGATTTATGATTAACAAATTCAACATTATCAACTCAACAAAAAATCTCACAATGGAGAAAACAATAAACTAAACAAATCTCATGATAAGAATGAAATATTCACTTAGGCCTCCTTTGGGAACAGGCTAATTTAGTAATTTTTTAGTTATTTGGCTAAAATATAAGCTAAAAAAAATTAGTATGTTTGGGATGACTTTTTGGCTTTTTAAGAAAAGATGTGCAAAAAGTAGAGAGAAAAGAGAATCTTTGACTTTTTGGTATGGGTTGTTGACTTTTTGGCTAATTTAGTAACTTTTTGGCTAAAAGGGAGGATTCCCAAACGAATTCTTACCATTAACTTTTCAATTTATAGTTTGAAAAACTAAACAATATATATATATATATATATATAATAGAGTACTTTTAAAAATTTTAAAATATAAAAGAATTTTACATGATTTAAGGAAAGGACACTACTATAATTTTATAAAAGACAAATTAAATATAAATTTTATATATAAGAGAAATAGTGTAAATATGAAAAGCCTAAGGGGGCAAATGAACGCCCCTGACCCTTATTCCCTCCGCCTCAGGTCCTAAAGACATTTGTTAACAAGACTTATATAAATAATCATCCATGTTATACAACCACCATATTAACTAATCAATCCTAAAATAATACAACAAATCAAAATTACTTAGTTAAACACTTTATGGAAGAAGTTTAGTTGTCCATAGAGAATGTGAAGAATGCCATAAATGTGGAGAACTACATTCTTAGAACCTTAGCTTGCATCCCTCTTGCCTCTTGTGCCATTTTTGAATAATTGAAGAACCTTTTTAGACTTTCTAGTGCGTCATGCGCTTGGGCTCACCAATGCCTGGGCTCACTCAGATAGTGAACCCGGGCTCACCATGACTTGCGCCCAAGTGCACCTCAACAGTCGAACAGTTTACTTCTTATTTTGTTTGGTCTCATCTTGCGATCCTTTAATCTTTTCATTTTTTTGAGAACGTTTAATCTTTTCGTTTAAACTCACTTTCATTGCAAGGACTCGAATGACCTGCACAACATGCAAATCTATTAGAATAATCAAATAACGGTAATTACAGGCTTAACAAATGTAGTTTAGGGGGCCTAACCTATTAGATAATTTGGAAATAAGAAAAAATGAATTGTAATTCTCTCCATTACATTATCCAAAGCAAGTGTAATGATCTTTTCATAATTTAAAATAATTATAAATTTGAAAATCTTCCAGGATCAAAGTTTGGAAAAAATCGTAATATAACCAAGTCATGTTTTACTTTATATAATAGAATATAAACAATATAATATATAGTGGAGAAAGTTAATACTCATTTAATGGATTGTTAACAAGTGCCTTAAGACCCTATATATATATTGTGGATAAATTACACTAATCTGTCCTGACATTTGAAGAAAATACAGAGAATCCTATAGTTTTGGTATAGTTATATTGAGATCTCTTAAAGTTTTAATTCATATAACACATAGCCAATTTTCATCAATATTTTGTTAGTCATATAAATAGCAAAAAGGGAAATTCTATAATACACCCTATTTTGGGGTGTATACCATATGCCCGAGTTATAATATTTGTGATCTTTAGTTATGAATCATTTTACTATTAATTATGATTTATTATGAAATTGGTTATGATCTATTATAACTATTATTTTGCTACGATTCAAAATGTTTTAGTAATACCTTAGGTAGTGTTTGGTTATGACTCATTATTTTTTTTAGTTATGATTGAAAATGATTTAATTAGGAATATCACAAATGTCATAATTTTCACATTGAGGGTGTGTATATAGTAGCATGACCCATAGAAAAATGATGATGTCATAAATTTACCATGAAATATATGTGTGTATATATATATATATTTATTAATCATTGCAATTTTACACTATTTGCATTAGTTTTAGTTTCTTTAACCTTACTAACAGAGACATTAATATAATTATATCAAAATTGTGAAATACTTGTATTTTCTCTACAGAAAACTAGGAGTCCATAATTTTGCCCAAAATAATATGCAAGTGAGATTCATTTATTGTATTGTGAGGTCATGGTTTAGATGAACTAGTTTCACACAATAAAATTTTTTATTGTAATTTTTGGAATTGTAGCATTGAAGTTTTCTCCACAGTAGCACTGTTGTGTAACTCGAATTTGAGCTTGACCCGAATGGCTCGAAACTCATCTTGTCGGACGTCTGGCCAGTCATTCGGCGAGAAGGCTGATAGCCGCGGTTGTCACCGTGACAACCACGGTAGACAAGTGTTTCACTCGGTTGTCCGGGTGGTTGTCCTGTGAACACCCATTCGGGCCAATCGAGCCCCTCCTTTTCGAGCTATAAGGCATTTCTGTTCTCCATACTAGTGTAATATATATAGCCTCGTTTAGGAATTTGTCTATTTTAGTTGATTTTTTAACTATTTTATGAGATAAGAAAAAAATTGTGTTTGGGATGATTTGTAATTTTTTTGCTGTTGAATAGATGGTTGTGAGAGAAAAATTAATTAATTGATGTGTAGAATGTGAGATTTTGTATTAATTATTTTAGCTTTTTTTTTAAAAAAAAAATTATTTATCTTTATTAACTATTTTGACTAAAAAAAAAAAAAGAGACTATTCCCCAACATGGCCTATGTGTGTGTTTATGGTGATGATGTTTATTCTTTGTTTCGAATGCAGTTGTGCTGCCTTGTGTTGCTGCTGTGTATTGGACGCCTGTTTCTGATCTGAGGATGGATTGATGTATTTCGTTGTCAAACTCTCACATGTCATATTTATTATTATATCGCAATGTTGTATTTTTGGATTGTTATTTGTCTAATAAAAAGCGACTTCTGGATTGTTTAATTCTCTCAATTCTCATGACACGGTTTACTCTCTTGTTCTATTCTCTTTTTATTTTATGACATCATTACAGGGTTTTGGTGCGAAAATAAAAACAAAAATATGTAAAGGTAAAAGAGAGCAAGAAGCTCTTGTAATTTGTTTGATTAAAAGAGATGAGAATAGTGTAAAAGGGGAGATTTTGGCGCTGTTTGGGAAGCCATAAATGAGGCTAAAATAACCTCATTTGAGAAAAAAGCCCAAAAGCAACACTGTTGAAAGTTTTTTCAAAAAAAAAAAAATATATATATATATATATATATAGGCTGCACAGCCGGTGCCTACACTGTCAGCCTACACTGCACAGCCGGCAATGAGTAAATTACAATTTTACCCCTTGAAATCAATTTAAAAAAATTTATTTTTAGAGATAAATTTGTCATTTTAAATTTAAACATCATTTCAACACACTTTTCAATACAACAACTCAATTAAAAATTCATCTCATCTTCCCAAACACAAAACTAAAATAGCCTACTAAAATAGTCAAAAAGTCAAATAGCCTACTAAAATAGTCACTTCCCAAACGAAGCCTTTAATTCAATTGCTAATTGGCTGTTTGAGAGTGGTGAGCCCAAATTGTTTACATATGCAGGAGACACAAGAAATGGAATGGATGTTGCTGTTTTGAGTTTTGGTGGGCCTGATTTTGGATTTATCTTAATCATCCAAACTACTCAATGTATAGAACTCGTTGAATATATCATTCTTATAAAAATTATGTTCATTGGACATCAATAGGAAATTATTTATATATATTTATAACAAGAAAAATGTTTGAGAGCTCTAAATTGGGAGTACTAAAGGAGCTCTAGAGAGTGGGTCCTACTGACTGATGTGATGTTTTGGCCTTAAGTTTTTTTTTTTTTTTTTTTTTGAATTTTCATCTCATTAGTGGTCCATTAGTACTCCCAAATTAGTGGGATGTATCATTGTTGTTATAACAAATTCAACAATTAATTATATAAGAAAATTCAAACAACACTCGTGCAAGCACATTAACAACCACAACATTTAGTAGTCTCAAAATGAAATTAAAATAAATAAAGATAAATGCACTTGGGATATTTGTTTCCCGTTAGCATTGAGTGTAATGAGTGTAATGATGACACCATTATACGCTGAGTTACTGACCGATAAAAAGTCTCAAATGAATGAAGTGGATAATTTTTGTCTCTTACTAACTCAACAATATTATAGTCTCTATCACAAATAAAAATTGTCTATTGAATGATGATACTTTACATGGTATTATCATTATATTCAATATGTACTTCAGATCAATCCATATTTTGGTTTTATTTTTATGTGTCTCAGAACACTTATTACTAAGATCATAAATAAATGGTATAAGAACGTGCCTAGAGAAAGAAATATTTAATATTTTCCTTACCTTAAATAAGGATTAGTACAAAAATGCTAAACATAAAATGCCTACAGAAAAGGAAAAATTTGTCTGCTCAAAGTTTTGTCAAGCCTTCGAGGAGAGTTGTTGAATGCCTAGTGCAAAGTGCTCAAAGTGAACACACACATGCCATATATAGGGAAATTATATTATACACACTGTTCCATATGTTCTAGTTATAACGTTTGTGATATTTGGTTATGGTTTATTACGGTGTTAGTTATGGCTTATTTAGAGCATCTCCAACGTTGTATTTTTTTTCCACCAAATTTGAGTAAAAATTTCATTTGATATCATGCGCTCCAACAAAGAATTTTGAACTTTCATCAAAATACTGGACGACTGAGCAGATGTTCGACTGGTCGATCGACCAGTGTAATTTTTTCACAAACTTTTGTAAAGAGATGCTCATCCGGAGGAACAACCGGCCGGACATCCGGCCGATCGTCCGGTAGTGAAAATGACCTGCAACTCTAATGCTTATGAACAATAAATTGATGAAAGCTCCCAGCCATTCTCAATTTGGCAAAAGATTTAACACATCCTTGATTTGATGCTTATCTAGTAAAACAATATTGGAGCAACAAAAGGGGCATTTTTTCATTAAATTTAAATTTGATGAAAAAATTGGTGAAACGTTAGAGATGGTCTTATACACATTGTGGTGTTAATTATGACTAATTGTGATATTAGTTATGACATTATTTTGGTTAAAATTCAAAAACTCTTTAGTTATACTTTATATGGTGTTTAGTTATGACGCAATTTTATTTTTGAGTTGTGATCCTAAAAGGATTTAATTATGACATTTGGGCCACGTTTGTTTGACGGATTAGGTTGGATGAGATTATTAGTGAGAAGATTGGTAGTGAAGAAATTGTTAATGTGTAGATTGTTAGTGAGGGGAGTAAGTAAAAGTGTATTTGTTTTGATGATAGTGTGAGAGATGATTAGTGATTAGATTGTTAAATTATTTTTATATAAAATAAATAAATAAATTATTTCTATATTAAAAAAACTAAAATAAATAGGTGCACTTGGTAAAAAAAAAAATTATATAAAATAGACAAAATCCCCTCACTATTTTTCTAATCTCACCTAAAATTCATCCAAGCTAATCCCCTTACATAGGGGGATTACTAAGCTTCCTTCACTACTAATCCTATGACATTTTGTTGCATCCAAACAAGGGTTTGGTGGGTCCCACAAATTGCTAATCCAATCCACCCTCTCAAACCCCAATCAAACATGGCCTTGTGGTAATCAACTCTATAAATATCATAACTTGCATACGAGACACGCCTTTTAAGAATGTGTACCATAACATTACCCTATATATATATAGGAGGATTCCCTTCAATTCAAATTTTGGATTGGAGAACATCGTTTGAGCACGTGAGGCCCATCACGGGCCCTGTTGCGATGATCCGAACTATTCATTTTGTTGGGCACTTTATCTATTTCATTTACACAAAAATTAGGTTGATCTGATAACTATAACTTATTCAATTTATCGCGTTTTTAATCCAAAAAAAATTTATAATTTATTTTTAAAAACCCAAATTTTTTTGGGTTAAAAATGCAATAAATTGAATAAGTTATAATTATCAAATCGCCCTAATTTTTTGTATAGATCAAATGCACAAAGTGCTCGACAAAATAAACAGCTCGAATCATCGCAACGGAGCTCGTGGTGGGCCTTACAGGCCCAAACAATGCCTTCCAATTCAAAATCTAGATTGGAGCAGATCCTCCTTCATATAGATATATGTTGTATCAATCGTGGTTTTGATCATCATCTTGAACTGTAACGATCCAGAATTTTTCCCTCTACTCGAGCGGGGGAGTTGACGTTCGAGTAGACTTGTGAGGCTTCCAGTACTTTTGCAGTCTGTCCAAGATTTTGAGAGTTGTGAATTCCCACTCGAGCGTAGGAGTGGTCGCTCGAGTGGACGACTTTGTTGGTCTGCACGCTCGAGCGCAAGATTGGACGCTCGAGCGGTTTGCCTGGTTGAGTTTGAATTTTTGAGACTAGTGAGACTGTTTTTGACCTTTTATTATTGTGTTTGGAGCCTCCCTATTTTATTTTGGGGCATTGATTGAAGTGGTGACATGATGGTAAAGTAAGATTGGATCAAAAACTTTAATTTAGATAATTTTCCTACAAATAGCCATCACTCTTTCGCCCTTTTCTTTTTCCATATTTTGAATTTGGATGTGAGGCTAGAGCGATTGGAAAGCTTGTTTCCGAGGCTTCAATTTGGACCCAATATGACCTAAAATGGAGTTCGAATGAGAGAGTTATGCCCGTTTGAAGTTTTAGTATCTATGTTGGAAGCCCGCTTGAACGTGGAAAGCAACGCTCAAGCGAACTACGCGAATTTAGCGACTTAAAAAATGATTTTCTAGATCATTCTTTGCACTTTCCTCTCCTCTCTTCATCCCTCTTATCCTAGGTCCGAAAAACCCTTGATCTCTTGACCCAAATACCTTCCATTTGTCGAAGATTTAGCTAAGATCTCTTACCAAAAAGTGAAGAAGGCTTGAAGATCTCACTTTTCAACCGAATGAAGTTTGGATTTGTGAAGGAATCTCATCAAAGCTTTGCTCTTTTGCTTGATTCTTGAGGTAGGGGTCTTAGTTCTTCTTCAATTCTTGCATTAATAGATAGATTTGTGGTATTTTGATTATATAAATACAGAACCTACATTTTTGAGCATATAATGTTACATCATGAGATTTGGGGGTTTAGGGTTTGAAGTGTTGGGATAAGATGGTGGATTATGAACCTTAGGTGTATAATCAATGGAAAAATTGGAATAAAAAGTAGTGGTGTGAGAAGTTTTAATTTTTCTTGAAAACCCTAAGTTGACTCATGATGAAAATTGATGATTTTGCCTAAATTGAAAATAGAATCATGAAATTAAGAGGAGTGTTCAAACAGTGACGTCCAAGTCTTGAGGACGGTCAAAAATGGGGTGTCTACAGTAGGGGTCTTAGTTCTTCTTTAATTCTTGCATTAATAGATAGATTTGTGGTATTTTGATTATATAAATACAGAACCTACATTTTTGAGCATATAATGTTACATTATGAGATTTGGGGGTTTAGGGTTTGAAGTGTTGGGATAAGATGGTGGATTATGAACCTTATGTGTATAATCAATGGGAAAATTGGAATAAAAAGTAGTGGTGTGAGAAGTTTTAATTTTTCTTGAAAACCCTAAGTTGACTCATGATGAAAATTGATGATTTTGCCTAAATTGAAAATAGAATCATGAAATTAAGAGATTGAATTATATATATACAAGTTTAATTGAATTTTGGAAGTGTTTGAAAATTATGTTAAAAATTAGCGAATGAACCTTTATTATGGATATTGTAAATCACGCTATAATATGAAATGAAATTTGGGAAAAAAGATTTGTTAATGATATGGATGACATGAGCCTTGGGATGAAATGATGAAATGGAGATTTAAGAGTTCACCTTGAATTTTGTTGAATTACATTTCGTGGTGTTGAATTGAATCATGTCGAATTGTGTTGATTATGTTGAATTATGAGATT